GTGCATGGGTTCAGGCTTCTGTATCTTCTGCCTGACGGAAGAGGTTGTAGGAGGTCATTACTGGAATGGGATGGGATGGGACTTTGATCATAGTGACAGCCCTTCTGTGGCAGCGAGCCGTGTAAATGGAGTCCATGGATGGAAGGATGGCTTCCGTGATGGTCTGGGCTGTGCATGCCACCTTCTATAGTTTCTTATGGTCCTGGGCAGAGCAGTTGCTATACCAGGCTGTTATGCACCCAGACAGTATGCTTTCAGTAGTGCATCTGTAGAAGTTGGTGAGGGTTATTATGGACATGCCAAATATCCTGAGCTGCCTGAGTAAGAAGAGGTGCTGTTGTGTCTTCTTGACTGTCACATCTACATAGGAAGTCCAGGTTAGGTTATCGGTTGTCATCACTCCGAGGAACTTGACGCCCTCCACCCTCTCAACCTCAGTTCCATTGATGTTGCTGGGGGCGTGTTCTCCTCCTTTCTTTCTGAAGACAACGATCAGTTCTTTAGTTTTTTCGACATTGAGAGAGAGGTTGTTTTCATTTCACCACGTCACCAAGCCCTGTATCTCCCTTCGGTATTTTGACTCATCGTTGTTAGATATCCAACCCACTACGGTGGTGTCTTGTAGATTGCATTCATTCGGAATTTGGCAACACAGTCGTAGGTATACAGGGAGTACAGTAGGGGTCTGAGGACGCATCCTTGGAGGGCTCCGGTGTTGAGTGTTATTGTGGAGGAGTTGCAGTTACCTATCCTCACTGATTGCTGTCTATGGGTCAGAAAGCTGAGGATCCAGTTGCAGAGGTTGGAGCCGAGATCAAGGTCATGGAATTTTGAGATCAGTCTGGAGAGTGTAATGGTGTTCAAGGGGAGCTGTAGTCAATGAGCAGGAGTCTGATGTAGGTATCTTTGATGTCCAGATGTTCCACGGATGAGTGCAGGGCTAAGGATATGGCATCTGCTGTATTTCTTGAATTGGTCTGGATCATCCGGCTTGAATGCTGCACATCTGGTCTTCAGTAGGGTCTGGATTTCCTGGTTCATCCAAGGTTTAAGGTTGGGGAACACTTGGATTGACTTCTTTAGTATGCAATCCGCCATGCATTTGCTAATGAAGTATTTGACGGTGGTGGCGTAGTCGTCTAGGTTTTCCGCTGAGTACTTGAACATGGTCTAGTCTGCTGATTCTGAGCAGTTCTGGAGACAGTCTTCCACAGCCTCGCACCAGCATTGTACTTCCTTTTGTGAAGGATCCTCCTGTTTCACCTTCTGCTTGTAAGCTGGGAGGAGGAACACAGCACAGTGATGTGATTTCCTGAAGTGTGGGTGGGGGACGGAGTGGTAGGTGTCCTTGATGGTTAGGTAACAGTGGTCCAGAATGTTCGGTCCTCTGGTGGGGCAGGAGATGTGTTGGTGGTACTTTGGCAGCAACCTCCTTGAGGTTGGCTTGGTTGAAATCACCAGGCACAATCAATAGGGCCTTGGGGAATTTTGTTTCTAGAGTGTTTGTGGCAGTGTAAATCGAATCCAGGGCATTGTTCACATCCGCATGGATGCTATGTAGACTGCTGATGTAACTGGCAGCCATCATTCCCCATGCACACAGGTTACCTGGGAGTATACTGTATTACAACTTGACTTGGAAGGGGGCAGTGGTTGTGCCCCTACCTCTGGACAAGAAGGCTTGGGTTCAAACCTCACTTGCTCCAGAGGTACGTAATAATATCTCTGAACAGGTGGATTAGAAATTATCTCCAACTAAGTCCCACCCTTCCACTGATCGCAACAAAGTTTGGAAACATCATGTTGCTTTTTATATTTGGTGTATGTATATATAACATGTATTTATTTACATCAATATACTAGACTGTATAGCTCAGTATGAACATAGAACAGTACAGCACAGTACAGGCCCTTCCACCCACGATGTTGTGCCAACCTATTATCCCACTCTAAAATCAAACTACCATGCATACTTTGCATTTTACTATCATCCATGTGCCTATCCAAGAGTCACTTAAATGTGCCTCATGTATCTGACTCCACTACCACTGCCGCCAGCGCATTCCATGCACCCACCACTTTCTGTGTAAAGAACCTACCTCTGACATCTCCCCTATGAATAACAAGTCAGCCATTTTCATTTTGTAACAAATAAAGAATTAGTTTGATGCAAGCAAAAGGCACTCAAGCAACGATGTAAAGATAACAAAATGACTTTGGCCAATCACAGCAAAATTCAGAAAGAAGGAATTGTTCACAGATTGTCCTAAATGTTGGTCTGTAGCTGAAGTCATTTTGCATCTAAGTTTCTGGGCGAGAGAGTATTTTCTGGATCAATTCTAGCTGGTTGACATTACCATTTTGGAACTCTCCATTTGTAATGATGAGGTTTTCAAATGGATTTATAACTCACAAACTTTGATGAAAAGGGAGTGAAGGCGGTGTTCCAAATCAGTTGTCTTTCTGCCAGTCTGTCTTCAAATTCAATAGCTTTATTACACCCACAAGAAAGGTCATTTGATGTTTCACTGAAAGTCTTGCAGATTCTGACTCCAGTTGAATTGCTTGATCTCTTTGCAAATGCACCATTTTTCTATGGCAGACAGTCTCCTTTGCTTTGTGATGTGTTCTTTCCAGATAGTCCAAGGAATAGTCCAGTCAATGCAATGTAAATTAATATTTCAGATACCATATTTTCATAACACCATGGAAAATCCAATCTGGTTTAAGTTCATTTTTATAGGCCAACATTCAACCTTCATGTTTTACTTTCAGGCACTTGAAACTATTGAATGTTCAAACAAAGAGTAGGAATTAATGTGTCCTTTTCAAATTGGAAGGCAGTAACTAGTAGGGTGCCACAGGGGTTGGAGCTGGGACCCCAGCTATTCACAATATATATTAATGATTTGGATGAAGGAACGAAATATAACATCTCCAAGTTTGCAGATGATACCAAGTTGGGTGGGAGGGTCAGCTGTAACGAGGATGCAGATTTCCTTCAGCATGATCTGGACAGGTTGGGTGAGTGGGCACAGCAGTGGCAGATGCAGTATACTTTGGATAAATATGAGGTTATTCACTTTGGAAGCAAAAACAAGAATTACTACCTGAATGGCTCTAAATTGGGAGAGGGGGGTGTGCAGCGGGTCCTGGGTGTCCTTATGCATCAATTGCTCTAGGTATGAGGAGAGATTGATTAGGTTAGGATTGTTTTTGCTGGAGTTCAGATGAATGAGTGGGGAGCTCATGAAGACTTAAAAAATTCAAAAAGGACTAGACAGGGTAGATGCAGGGACGATGTTCCCAATGATGGGTGTGTCCAGAACCAGGGGTTACAGTCTGAAGTTTCAGGGTAGGCTATTTAGGATGGAGTTGAGGAGACATTTCTTCACCCAAAGAATGGTGAGCCTGTGGAATTCATTACCACAGGACGTGGTTGATGCCAAAACATTGAATGTATTCAGGAGGCGGCTAGACATAGCACTTGAGGTGAATGGGATCTGAGGTTATGGGGAGAAAGTAGGATTAGTCTATTGAGTTGGACAATCAGCGTTGATCGTGATGAATGGCGGTGCAGGCTCGAAGGGCTGAATGGCCTCCTCCTGCTCCTACCTTCTATTTTTCTTTGGTCAAAATTGTTTTGTGTTACAGAAATGATCAGATGTAATTCTGCAAGAGAAAGTGCTTGCTATACAGTCAACCATTTTGTAGAACCACCAGTTTTTCTAGTCAAATATGAAATACTTTTGGACTATTCTCATTTACAGAATGCTCATTAGCTATATGCTCTGCAATCAATTACAGTAATTAACCGTCTCTGCTCAGCAATGGTGCAGCATTCCATTTTTTTTGATGTAGTTATTACACTGAAGAATAAACAATGCAGTAAATTGATAAAGTAGAATTGCAGAACTATTTGTATCAAATCCAAGTCTTTAGAGCAGAGTATTGTTCAAAATTAGAAAAGCGGGAACACAAGGAACTTAAACCGTTACTGTGTTAGCAATTGCTAATTTTGAATTAAAACAAACAGTTCAAGATACTGTGTGTAATTCTGGTTGCCCTTCTATTGGAAGGACGTTGTTAAATTTGAGAGGGTGCAGAAAAGATGTACAAGCATGTTGCCAGGACTGGAGGGTTTGAGTAATCGGGAGAGACTGAACTGACCTGGGGTTTTCTCCCTGGAGCATTGAAGGTGGAGGGGTGACCTTGGAGAGCTTTATAAAATGATGAGGGGCTTGTTCCAAAATGACTTTTTCATCTTTGCTTTTAAAAGTGGCTCCTTTATACACCTGAAAGCTCAAATCTATTTTTCCTCCACGTTTAAATCCACGTTCCCAAATAATAACAATGTACTAGAAACTTACATCACAGTACAGATAAGCTATGGCGCGGAAAATGTGTATTCTTTCCAATTGATTTCACTGTTTATTCTGCACATGAGCAAGTAAACATCTCTATTCTATTCTTTCATAATTTTAAGCCATCTCTCATATCACTCTCCAATCTGAATAATTGAACTAAAACAAGTCAGTTCTGATTCTATACAGTGCTAAGTGTTATGCATTACTGGTGGTACATTTTTGAATAGAAAGGCTAAATATTTTATGATAGATTGAATTATTCCTTAGATTACAAATCTATATTTATTTGATCAATAAACAATAGCCACAGGCTCAACCCGGGTCCTTCATTTTTGTTTCATAGTCACTTTACAATCAGTTTTTCATGGTGACTGTAGTATTTTATACCTGCTGTGATACAACAATGCTGATTTGTTTTGAAGCCATTTCAGCTGAATAATTGATTTGAATACGGAGAGCAGATTTGCTTTTGTTAAGTTGCTCAATTAATTTGTGTCGCTTATTCAAATCAATATTTGGCAATGATAACTTGCAGTTTAAATTTAATTGTCATGGTCCTGGGCTGTTATTATAAGTTTTTGATTTTTATTTTCATAAATTTACATCTTGTCATGCCATACCTTGGCTTTATAGGCGCATTGACGATGATAAGGGAAGGACTCATGAGCTGGAATATTGTGCTGTTAAATGCATGCGAGGAATTCTCTACTGCTACATGCGTCAAGCTGATAAGGTAAAGTGCTAATGCATGGGTGCACATTCTGACCTTTTCATTTAGAATTTTAACTTCAGTAAATAACTGTGAACATATAGATACAAACATGTTTAATTATGGAAATAAACAATGATGTCTCATTTTTTAAAAAAGGCTTTTGTACCTTCTACTAACCAGTGGTTGGAATTAATTTAATCAATTGAGTAATAAATGAATTTGAAAGATTAGTTTTTATGACGGTTCATATTTGGCTTTTTTCACCAAGTATCATTGCAAATCATATACATAAGCCATCATTTCCACAATGTTTGAACCAGACTGCTTTGTCTGAAGAATGTGCAACACAAATATTATTCAACTTGACCCAACATGATTTTGCCTAGCAAAATGAAATTAGGTCTTCTCAATCATTGAAGTGCTTTTGATGCACAGTCACTGCTACAGAATAGGGAAATGAGCCTGATAAGAATAAGTGGACCATATCCATCACTGGCAAAGGGAGGTCGTGTCTTAGTTACACATCAGCACCCTACCTTTATCTCCGAGCTCCTGTGATCTGTAGGTTGGCACTGCTTGTCAATCCTTCACTGAGCCAGTACCTCACATCCACCTCCAGAAAATGTGACCTGCAGCATTTGTCTGCTGTTTCTCTGCCATCCAAAACTGTTCACCTCCTCCCATCCAAATGAGTGGGGTAAATGAGACAGGGAAACATGCGAATGAGAATGGAGATCACTCAAGAAACAAGGAGACAAATAGAAAATCTAAGGAAATGGTTCCAAATGTATGACAACAGGAATTTGTGAGAGATCTTCACTTTACCACAGACAAAACCTTAGAAGTTAGAAAATTACAAATTTCAAGTCAGCACAGTTGGATTTAATTGTTTTGGGGCTTTTTTGTCCACCCATGAGAACTTTCAGTAATGGTTTTATACTCGAAATCCTTAGCCTGTTCAAAAACCAGCATTTGATCTTGATAGCTCCAACTTTAATCTGGGTGCAGCGCTTCAAGAAGGCAGCTTACCACCACCTCAGGGACAATTAGGATGGGTAGTTCGTGCTGGCCAGATGGTGATGTTCACATTTCACGAATGAATTCAAAGAAAAGACCACAGTAATTTTAACTCCCCATCCCCATTTTAATATTTCCCTCTTGTCCAAAGTTGACAGGAAGTGACATTGAAGCTCACAGACAGGAGCAGGAACTGGGATAAGAGTTGGGCTCCACCAGCGATCAAGTGAATAAGTTGGAAACACAGTATAAATTCCCTAATCCATTAATGAAACCAACCTGGCAGCTGTTTTGGCCTCCTTAAGCATTTCCCCCAGCAGTCTTCTCATCAGCCTTTCCACTCACCTTAAACTTCTATAGTTTCTGACCCAATCATAGCTCCAGCGAAACCTTCATTATCCTCCCCTTCCTGCTTTGGTCTTAAGTTTGTTAATGTGTTAGCTGTGCTTTTATACAGAATAATGCTGTGAAACCATAGTTAATGATTTTACGAAACTTGAAATAGTGTTGACTGGAAGAGTTCTAATAGAAATATCCCTACCTTGACCAGCCCAAGAAGCACTCAGGCAAATTTTGATGACAGGATCTGGTTAATTAAGTTGATTTACATAGTTTACATAGTTTATAGATATAAACGTTTGTGCTGTGGGCAAGTTGGGGTGAAGTCTTATCACTAATAACATAATAGGAGACTCTTCCATATGTGGTACTCATTCTACTTTGCTCCCAGATGCCATGATCACTTCTTCAATATTTTCACAACCCAGATGATCCTTCATTGCTTTCAAATTCCACAGTCATATTAGTAATTGCATTTCTCAAAATCCATGTCCATCACTTCTAATTCTTTGGAAGATGTTCCCACTGCCAATAACTTCAAATCTTCGCCGTCACTCGATCCAACATCTCACTAACTGGTTTGAAATAACATAATTTATTCTTTACTCTGGGCTTGTCATCTTGGGTGTGATTTTCACACATTACCTACTTTCATAAACTTAATAATCATATTGACTCTTTTCCACCTACATGATATTACCCAGTCTGCTCAGTTCCTCACCTTTCACATTTTATTTAACCAATTGCACTTTATTCTCTCGCTATATTCAAGCACTATATTGGTTCATAGCAAACTGTACAGAACTCAAAGCAACAAAGAGATTTTATAAAATGGAGAATCTGTCTTTTCACAAATCTTGATAGATTTAAGAACATGATTAACTTTTAATTATCTTGTTCTGAGTGGAATATGTTATTATTGTCTGGCCTTGTTAGCTTCACTGCAAATTCACCATGCATTTCTATGCATTAGTTGTTTCACCAGTAACAAATCACATCTGCGCATTCATACTAGCATTCCATCATCATAGCTAGGGATAAGAAATCTCCATTGTTTGACTTTTGAACAGTGGCATTTTACTCTTTTCATCTGTTTCTTTCTGACATCTCCCTCCCCTCATCTACGGCCTCCTCCAACACCGCCAAAGCCAGGCATAGAAAGTCACAAGCTGAAAAATCTCTGCTTGTAAAGAGCCCAGTGCTTGAGGGAATAATCACTCAGCTTTATGCCAGCCCAGACCTCATTGCCCTCATTCCCAAAGAGAGGGCACACTCTGCTGCTGGCTCATTATTGAAGGAAAGGAGTGAGGAAATTTGAGGTTCAGCAGGTGGCCTAGGTGTGGGCAGTGGAGCATTGGAACCCGAATCCCCACAGGGTTCAGCAGATGATGGATTAGTGGGGTTAGGGTAGAGTAAGTTGAAGGTCTGCTTTAGGAAGAGGAGCTGCTGTGTGATTGAGTAAGTGGGGGTAGGTAGGTTGGGAAGTCAGGCTGGTGATTGAGTGAGTCTGGCGAGGATATTTGGGATGAGTATGTGGCAGAGAAGGTAGTGCAGAGATGAAGAACCTGAGGGCATACTCTTCAGCTTTGACTCTTAACCCATAAGACCCCATGTGGGCCAGACTTCCTGGCTGCTCTCATTCCCTTTTTCTACTTTCTTTATGCTTTTAACCGTATCGCCAGAAATGAAACAAACCACAATAATACCTGAGAAGGCTGTTTATCCCACTAGTATTTGATTGCTATCACTTGCCAACTCATTTTTTGTAGTTCCTCAAGTAACCACTTGTTTCACAGTGACATGGCAATGCTTTTGATTATATTTCCCTTATTTCCAATCTTGTCTTCATCACAGGCACTCAACACTGAACAATTGAATGGCATCTGTTGGATTTTGTATAGCATTGATATGATCGCTGGGGTGCTTGGGATCAAAGGATTTAAGAATAGCAGTAGTGTGGGAGCTTGGCGAATAGATTAGGCAAGGGTGGCAGAGAAGATTTGGAGGGTGCAGTTGGGCCAGAATAATACTTAAAAAGCGTTGGAGTAGTTTGGATGTTTTTTGAGGGAATTGGGAGTTGATGTTAGAAGAATGTAAATATTTAGGGGAGTTTTTTTAACGTTGCAGAAGTTAGATATTTTATACGTTTGCGTATGATTGCTGTTTCTTTAAACCCAGTCAAAGAAAATACGCAGACTTAAAAGTAAAGTTTGCAGTTCTAATGCTTCTACCAAGCTTACGGTTTGTCTTCTTGTCTGTCACAACCTTAAGAAAGATAATTGGAAAGTGCATAAGGTTGTTTGTTTGTTTCATTCCATATTTAACAGACAATTCCATGTCAAGTTTAAGTATGCCAGATTTTCAAAATCCAGTAGATGTGATAGCAATTTTGTAGGATCTCAATGCAAGAAAAGAAGCTGTCAAGGGATGGACTGTTGGGATTCTCCTATGAGAGTGATCTAAGAAACCAGAAGTAATTAAAATTAGAGAAACTTCAAAATGCTGAGGCAGTTGAATCGGTAGTGAATAGTCTGAAATTTCAGTAATAAACGGTCAGCAATTATAAAATATAGGTAGATCGAATAACATGTTGCGACAAATGACTAAGCCGAGAGTTTAGGTTTGGAGAGAAATGGTTATGTTCGCTAGAGGTTTGTCATCACGATCCTTGGGTGTCGCTATCAGGGTTTCCAAAAGTTATAGAGATAACACGGTGTAGAGCTGGAGTTCCTACTATTCTCCAGCATCGGCAGTTCCTACTGTCTCTTTCCAAAAGTTATACCTGGACTCTAACAACCTGTATTGATTTCTTAAGAACATTTGCTCCAACATACAGTCATGAGTTGAAGTGGTATTAATATTGATATCTAACAGCATTGTTTAAAGTTGAAATAGTTGAATGTTGTGAATGCTGAATTTGCAAAAGTACCACGAAAAAAATATCATTTTTGACAGGTTTCTAATTAATAGGGTGGATAATTAGACTTTATTTCCTTTCTCAGTCCTTCATTCTTATGCATTATTAAATTTAATTCTGTTGGAATTGCAGGTTGTACTTTCCAAAAAGTGCTTAATTGCGCTCTAAGATGTCATGTAATATGAATATGTTGGTATAAATATTCATCCATAAGAGCATAATAAAATGAACAGGTATCTCAGCTGTTCAAGTTAATCAATCAGTTCATGTTTAATCTATATCTCTACAATTTTCCAGTCTTTAATCTATATCCCTTGACATCTTTGTGTAACAAAACATTGTCATTCTCAGTTTTAAAAATATCAGTTGACCCAGCATTCACAACCTTTTGGAGACTGAGTAGAAGATTTTTACCACCCTACATAATTTCACTTGTAACCTGCTTTCCTCTGATTTGAGGATATGGGCCAGAGGTTTGCTGCCAGGCAGATGGCTTGAATTGGAAATATCCTAATTCAATAGGACTGTCTTGATTTAAGGGTCTTGTTCGACCTAAATGGGGTTGAAACAGGTCTGCTGATCCTATGAATGGATTCTATGCAGCTACAAAACATGCAGTTTAGAAGGCCCACCTTGGTTTCTCAGGCTTTTGCTGTAGAAGCAGTTTGGCCTCCTCATATCCTGTCAGTCCCATGCTATCCCTCTGCCTAGTGTACCCCATAATTCCTCCATGACAACAAATGCTCCCATCCATCCCTATACCTCTTCATATCTCCCAATGACCCATTCTCTGAACTCATGCGCTACCCACCTCCCATGCCACCTCAAAGGGCCTGGAATGCCACCTCCATAGACATTCACACAACACCCACCATGGACAGACCTTTGGAACCATATGGAGATGGTTATTTTTAGAAGACAAATTCCTAACAATCTAATACAGCACTCTTTCATGCACACTTCATAGTGAAGCAAGTTCCATTTATGAAACTCATTCAAATATTTTCAACCTCCAGAAGTAGTTAATCCTCTAGAAAAAGAACAAACTTCTATTCAGATCCATATTTTAAAAAATCCTTGAATAGTTATTTAAGCTGTTAATAAAACTGAACACAGAATGTCCTGCAGAGATCATTGTAGATTTTGAAACTCAACCACACATTCATAATGACATGGCATTAGCACTTGGGAAATGTGAACAAAGAATTCTATTGAAACTATTTGTCCAGATGGTACTTTACTTTAACCGTATCAGATGACCTATTGAATGATGCATTCCAGCAGAAGCTTTTTTTCAAAACATACAGACAGCATGAACCTGTTTTCATTTTTAAAGAGCAGGAGTGATAAAAGAAAACTCTAAATCATACAATTTAAATATCCACTTTTCAAAAGTGTTTACATCTACTGCATAAATTTCTAACTCCCACACTGACTAAAGTTCTGTAAAACTGAAGCCTAACCTCCTCTGTTACATATTTCAACTTCGAAGCTGAAGAAGGGTCACTTGACCCAAAACACAGCTACCAGAGCTGCTGAGCTTTTCAAGCAATATCTGCTTTTTGTTCAGATTTCCAGCATCTGCAGTTCTTTGTTTTTTCTTTCATTAACCTTTTTGATTACGATTTCACTTGTACTAGATTTCTGGATTTTAGTGATTTTTTTTTTATAAATGTCTGGATGTCTACTTCCTATTGTATCTCCAATATTTGCAGTTTGTTAGAAATCGGTAAACATTCCAATTCGCCCTTGAGTTCCAAATTCGAGGATGTTGAACCTACACACTCACTCTGACAGTCTCTTTGAAACATTTTGTGCCCTCATCTGCATGCTTTACCATATCTTGTAGTTTAGTTTCATCTGCAAACTTACAGACGTAACTTTGTTTCTGCATTCAATTTAATAGTATGCACATCGAAAAGCTATTGGCTCATATGCATTCTTTGACTATACAACTGTTCCTATTACATCTCACTAATCAGGGTAGGTTTCCTTAATATGAAAACAGAAAGTGATCGAAGATCTCAGCAGGTCTGGCAGCATCTGTGGAGAAAGAAACAGAGTTCATGTTTTGAGTCTAATATGACTCTTAAAAATCAGTCAGACGTGACTTACACTTCACAAATCAACTCTTGCTGTCAGTGATCAGTTCATAATTTTCAAACTACTCAGTTATTCATTCAATTTATTTTTAATAGGTGGAACATTTCAAACAACATTCAGATCCATCAAATTGCCTACATTCTGTGTTCAATGTGCATACCGGTGATGAAGTGTTATCTAGTGAAGAGTATGGGCATCTTCAGGTAATGTAGTGCTATTACACAGTTTTAATTCTTTCAAAAACATTATTAGAGCGCAACACAGCAGTTACAGTTTATTGATTTATTAAAGCAACAACATTTCAGTGGCTTGTTTTGATTATTTTTTGTTGTTCTACACTGCAGATTGATGCTGTATCTTTATTCTTACTATACTTGGTGGAGATGATTTCCTCAGGACTACAGATTATCTACAATACTGATGAGGTACTGTTTGTTAGACTGATCCATCAAGGCAAATAAACAAGTTTATTTCCCAAAATTTTGTAAAGTTCATAACACTTGATCAACCTGTTAAAAATTAGGTGGGCAAATTGGAGTCTGGTGAAGGATAAACAAAATGGCTGAAGGAACGTGCATAGAATAGAAAGGGAGAGTGCAAAGGAGAATGGAGAAGAGTAGGGACAACAATGAGAAGTGACGAGTGGAGCATGGGAGTAGTTAATAAAGACATAGAAATCACCTTAGAGGGGAAAGCACCCAGTTTAAGAATGGAAACACTGAAAATCTACAAAAGGAGGCCATTTGGTCCACTTTGCTTGTGCCACACAATAAAACGAGCTGCCTAGCCTAATCAGCCTATTCACTTAATTGCCTGCAGTCCTGTAGTACATGTGCAGCAATTTTATTCAATGCAATGTACGTTTCTGTCTCTACCACCCTTCCAGACTTTGAATACAAGAACTGCTGTCTGAATGAAAACATTTCTCAACTCCCCTTTAATTCTTCTACCAATTAGTTCAAATCCATGACCCCTGGTTATTGGCTGCACTGCTGATGAAAAACTCCTATCCAGAGTTGATTTTTCATCTCATTGTAAATAATTTCTTTACGTTCTTGTAGACCTGTGTTTTGGAAAATTTTTAACATTCGTTATTATATAACTGATGCAGTTGACCCACACACTTCATGCCTCTTTTGGGACAAGTTGAAAGTGTCATCCAACAAATACCCCAGACTTTGGCTCACCGCTCTGAATCTGTTTGAGAATTTTGAGTCTTAACTAATGACAGTTTCAAATATTACCACTGCAAGCATGCTGTAGCATAAGATGGCTCATGCCCTTCTGAAATTGAATACATTTCTTAGACTTAGATTGTACCTTATTATTTAGGTATGATGTCACACTTTTGCCTCAGGTTACTGTAGCAATGTAGGTAAGCAGACATGCCTGTAATGCCAGTAATGCCTGCCTTCCAACTAAATGATTCCACTTCCTTTTGCTGACAGCTGGGGGAAGGTGTGGCATAATAGTCATATCACTGGACTAGTAATTCAGAAACCCAGGCTAAGTGCACATGGCTTCATATCCCACCTTGGCAGCATGTAAAAATATATTTCATTAATGAGCTGGAATTAAAAGTTAGTTTAATGGTGACCATGAAGCCATTGTCGATTGTTCTGAAAGCCCAAATGGTTCACGTATGTGCTTTTAGGAAAGGGAATCTCCCTGCCTTACTGGGCCTGGTCTATGAATATCTCCAGCAATGTGGTTGAATTTAAATGCATCTAAAATGGCTTGCAAGCTACGTGGTTGTATCAAAACTGCTATGCTCTAAAAAGGAGGGATGAATAAAAGAACGGACAGACCATACAGTATGGCATGAATTGCTGTCTGCCTGGTTCAGTTTCTCTTTAAATTCCAACATCCTAAGCTGACACAGAGTGATCTTCTTCCCTGCATCAGACTGTAAATTGCCTAGTTCTTGTTGCCATGGATGATGTTACATTTATAATCTGATGGTTGTCTCTCTCTGAAATGCCTCCCTTGTTTTATCCTGCCAGTTCTATTTCTAGGAAATTGTATCTGTGGTCTTACCCACCTGGCTGGGAAACAATATCTCACATTTTACCCAACTGGATCTCTTTAGGAAACGAGACCTCCTGTTTTACCCCACAGCCATTCAACAGATTCACTTCAGTTTACCCCAAGAACAATAACAATTAACCCTACTTGCTTAACCAAGGAACGAAAACTCAATCATGGTGCCACACCATCTTTAATTATTGTACCCACAGACTCGTTCTCTGGCTTGGATCTTCAAATCAGCTCATTCGCTGCCATTTCACATGTTGACTTTCCTATCTTAGGGCTGGTGAAATAAACATTTAACCCTTCCTTTGCAGTTAACGTTCATTCCTGTGCCATCAACTGATATTCCAAATGCCCAACTCACAATGCCAACTGTTGTGGTGATTTTAAATCTTCTGTACAGTTATTTGTATTTGGTGGCGTAGAAAGCGTGAATCAAAGTACTGCTGTGTTTTACAATGAGCTAATTAAAATATGTGCAAATTAGTATGAAGATGGATTTAAACTTTAAAATTGTCTGCAAAAATTAGAGATTTAAGGTGTTCCAACCAATTGTAGCTTCAAGCTTATTGTTTTCCACCAGTAATCAGGCACAACTGTAGATAGGGGGAGGTGATGGCCTAGCAGTATTATCGCTGGACTGTTAATACAGAGACACAGACAACGTTCTTGGGACCTGGGTTTGAATCCTGCCACAGCAGATGGTGGAATTTGAATTCAACAAATATCTGGAATTAAGAATCTAATGATGACCATGAATCCATTGCGAATTGTCAGAAAAACCCAACTCGTTCACTAATGTCCTTTAGGGAAGGAAACTGCCTTCCTTACCTGGTCTGGTCTACATGTGACTCCAGACCCACAGCAATGTTGTTGACTCTTAACTGCCCTCTGGGCAATTAGGAATGGGCAATAAATGCCTAGCCAGCGATGCCCTCATCCCAAGGAAAAAAAATTTTAAATAGGTTAAGCATGAAGTCTTTATTTATCTAAGTTAATTATTCTAAATGTACTAACTGTTTTGATTGCATTTTTTTTAAAGTGGATGCATGCCTAGGTATTCTGAGAGTGCAGGGTTTGATGTTCTTATTAGAGTTGCAAGGTTACTGAGATAGAAGTAGGTAGACTTTGTAAGGGAGTGGATTTGTATTTGGAAGCTTATGTCAAGGTTAAACTCAAAACGAAGGTTGTGAATAGTCTAGGTCAGCTTCAAACAGTTACTGCAGCAATGAAAATCTACCTAAGAAGGAGTTTGTGGCATAGATCAGACGATGGTTTTATCTTTCCACTGGTAAGAAGTTTCTGCTCTACCATTTCTGAATGTCAGAAAAGCAATGGGAGAGAGTTGGAGAGGTTTGAGAAGGCCTGCAATGAGTGAGAGCTGAACGTCATCAGCATACATAGAGTCATAGAGATGTACAGCATGGAAACAGACCCTTTGGCCCAACTCCTCCATGCTGACCTGATATCCTAAATTAATCTAGTCCCATTTGCCAGCATTTGGCCCATATCCCTCCGAACCCTTCCTATTCACATTCCCATTCAGACGTCTTTTAAATGTTGTAATTGTACCAGGCTCCACCACTTCCTCTGGCAGCTCATTCCATACATTCACCATCCTCTGCATGAAAAAGTTGCCGCTAAGGTCTGTTTTATATTTTTCCCCTCTCACCTTAAACCTACTCCCTGTAGTTTTAGACTCTCTCACACCAGGGAAAAGACCTTGTCTATTTACTTTATCCATGCCTGTCATGATTTTATAAACCACTATAAGGTCACCTCTAAGGATCCAGGGAAAATAGCCCGAGTCTATTCAGCCTTTCCCTATAACTGGAACCTTCCAACCCTGGCAACATCCTTGTAAATCTCTTCTGAACCTTTTCAAGTTTCACAACATCCTTCCTATAGGAGGGAGACCAGAATTGCATGCAATGTTCCAAAAGTGGCACGACCAATGTCCTATACAGCTGCAACATGACCTCCCAACTCCTAAACTCAATGCAATGATCCATATAGGCAAGCATACCAAATGCCTTCTTCACTATCCTATCTACTAGGCGATGGCCAAGTGGTATTATCACTGGACTGTTAATCCAGAGACCCAGATAATGTTCTGGGGACCCAGGTTCAAATCCTGCCATGGTAGAATGTGAATTCAATAAAACTGTCTGGAATTAAGAATCTAATGAAACCATGAATTCATTGTTGCTTGTTGGAAAAACCCATCTGGTTCACTAATGTCCTTTAGAGAAAGAAACTGTCAACCTTACCTGGTCTGGCCTACATGTGACTCCAGACCTTCTCCTCTAATAAGGACGTTCTTCAAGATGTTGCTGTTTATTTCCCCACATTCTATAATTTCCATATCCATCTCTACAGTAAACACTGCTGCAAAATACTCATTAGTATCTCTACCATCTCCTGTGGTTCCACACATAGGCGGCCTTGCTGATCTTTAAGGGGCTGTACTGTCTCCTTAATGTATTTGTAGGATCCCTTTGGATTCTCCTGAACCCTATTTGCCAAAGCTATTTTGCCCTTCTGATTTCCCTCTTGCATCTACTCCTATAGCCTTAATAGTCTTTTAAAGATTCACTCAATCCCGGCTGTCTTTACCTGATATATGCTTCCTTTTTCTCATCCAAAACCTCAGTTTCTCCAGTTATCCAACATTCCTTATAAATACCAGCCTTGCCCTTCACCCTAATAGGAAAATACTGTCTCTGGACTCTCGTTATCTCATTTTTGAAGGCTTTCCATTTTCCAGCTGCCCCTTTACCTGCAAACATCTGTCCCCAGCCAACTTTTGAAAGTTCTTGCCTTATACCATCAAAACTGGCCTTCCTCCAATTTAGAACTTTAACTTTTGGATCCGGTCTATCCTTTTCCACCACTCTGAAATTATGGTCACTGACTCCACAGTGCTCCCCCACTGACACCTCAGACACCTGCCCTGCCTTATTTCCTAAGAGTAGGTCCAGTCTTACTCCTTCCCTAGTAGGTATATCCACATACTGAATCAGAACATTTTCTTGTACGCACTTAGCAAATTCCTTTCCAGCCAAGTCCTCAATGGCAGTCCCAATCTATGTTTGGAAAGTTAAAATCCCCTACCATAACCATCCTATTATTCTTAAAGATAACGGACATCTCCTTACAAATTTGTTCCTCAATTTCCCACTGACTTTTGGGGGGGTCTACAGTACAATCCCAATAAGGTGATCATCCCTTTCTTATTTCTCAGTTCCACCCAAGTAACTTCCCTGGATGTAATCCCAGGAATATCCTCCCTAAGTACAGCCATTTGTTATCTCTAATCAAAAACACCACTTACCCTCCTTTCTTGCTTCCTTTTCTATTCCTCCTATAGCATCTATACCCTGGAATATTAAGC